TGTGTGGCTCGGGGTTACCACTTATGGTACAGAAAATTAACCCCGAGCCACACTCGGGAATACCGCTAAGGAGGTTAAGCCAATAGAGTCTCTGTCCTTAAATGCACCTGATTGAAAGAAATGGTTAGCAGTCACGCTGCCCCTAGGTAGCCAATTCCACACGAAATTGAGAGATTTACCCGGAGGAAAAGTAGGATTATACCAGATAAGAGTGAGCGGGCTTAAATTTTAAAGCTTGACATGTTTGGTGTCTATTTACCCGACGTGACCCCATCTTTTATATTTTACCAAAAATATGGGTAATGTTTTATAACATAACATAGGGAAAACTGTTTTTTTTTTTCAAAATTTACTGTACTTTTGTTTTGTTATATAGTAAAAAAATAAAAAAACCCCAGTAGTGATTAAATAAAATCACACAATGAGAAAGCGCCACTACTGTAAAGAAAACACTCACGTTACTGTTGTCAGCATATCGCGTGTCAGCTGGTCCTACAATGCCGGGAAAATGTGCAGAAGAACAGTCTGAGAACTGTCAGGGGTGATCGTGTGAACAACGCGGACTCAGCTGGCCAGGCTGAGCCGCGGCTGCACGAGTATGAGGCGATGTTAGTGCCGGACCGTATGGGGACCCCAATAGTCTGTAGGGGCTGTATCTCTAGGATGTCAAAAACGAAGGGGAATGGAAGAGCTGGACAAGGATGGTGTCCAATGCCGGCGGCTACGCGTTTTTGAGGCTCTGCCTCTTTGTCAAGCCTAAGTTGAAAGTGCAATAGAGATGGCGGGATGTCTTGCCAGTGTTTAAATATGACAGCTGGGAGGAGTCAACCGCTGTCCAGAGTGACTGTGATTGGTGGAGGAGACGAGTCTAAGAGGACACTCCCACTTAGGGGCTGTGCTTAGGGGAATAGGCATAGATCGAGCCGAGCAAGTCTATCATAAAGGTAGAGTGGGAGGGGAGATGAAGGGATGAGCAAAAAAGCCCACAAGGATGGCATATTGATAGCATTGTCATCTAAGGGTGCTTCATGACAGCCTGGATGTATGAGTGTGTGCCTACGATAGACACAGACTGGATATCTGGGGTATAAAGAATCTATATGGCTGTATGTTCAACCAAAACGAGGTAAAATAGTAGGTCGTGCTACATAGATTAGAAATGTGTATATAATGAGGAAAATCATTAGCAAAGGATGGGGGTCTGTTGGGACTGTGCTTAGGAAAACTCATTGTATGGTGGACCCATCCATAAGGGCAAAAATCATACATATGTGCCTACATACACACGTGTGTGTACACTTATACACCTATCTGTACGCGTACACCTGTACATGCGCATGTCATCCCATTGCTTCCCACCGGTAAGTGTCTATAGGTCCATGAGCTGGAAAAAGTACACATTAAAAGCTGGTTTATTCAAAAAATGTTATTAAAAACACTAAAAGGAGCTACCATCATAAAAAATATATATGTGTGAAAGACAAAGGACTAAAAAAGAAAACAAAAGGGTTAAATAGATGAACAATCTAATCAGCATGAATTACAAGATGGTATTGACCTCAATCTCCTCATTGAGACATACGGGTACCAGAGAATTTAGTTTGAAGATCCAAAAAGTCTCACGGTTACAAAGACGGTGAAAACGCTCAGAAACCGATAGCTCTGTGGAAATGTGTTCGATTGCGAACACCCGGAGATCTTGGGTCCGCTTGTGGTGCTTAAGGGTAAAATGCCGGGGGACGCTATGATCAAAGTCTCCTTTCTCGATTAGGCGTCTGTGTTCACCTATCCTGGTACGTAATGGGCGTATTGTACGACCAACATATAATAATCCACATGAGCAAGTGAGGCCATAGACAACATGGTCATGTGTACTGGTGATAAATTGCCTAATGGAATAGGAATTCTTCAGGTGGTCGTGGAAACGAGTTTGACCATGATCAGTAAATTGACATGTAGGCATCTTGGTTTCCGACATTGAAACGTCCCAACTCTATTATCAAACAAGAAATGCCTGGGGCGGGCATCTGCGCCCTGGAACTTACGGCTGGGTCCTACCATATTTTTCATGTTCCTAGATTTCTTAAAATTAATGGACGGTTTGGATGGTAGGGTTGGGCCCAACCTGGAATCTTTCTGCAATATATGCCAATTTTTCCGGAGTGCTCGTTGTATGGCAGTGTGACTATTGTTAAAAGTGGTGATGAATCTGGTTTTGTCTTGTTCGCCATTGGTGGACTTGTGTCTGAGGTTTTCGCTCGATTCGGTATTGGCATAATAGGAAAAGGCTTCAGTAATGATATCATTTGGATAGTTTTTCTCTCTGAACTTATCTAGTAGGAGCTGGCTAGATGTAATGTAGTCACCTTGTTGGGTACAGTTTCTCAATCTGCAAAACTGACTCTTCGGAATGTTCTTTTTCCATCTGGGATGGTGACAGCTGTCAAAATGGAGATATGAGTTACCTCCCGTCGGTTTCACGTGATTGTTGGTAATAATGTCACAACCAAGGGAGGACAACTCAAGATCGAGGAAAACTAGTTTGGTGGTGTTGACCTCATAGGTGAAGGTTAATCCAAATTGATTGTTGTTGCAATGATTGAGGAATAAGGACACGCTATTCGGGGGGCCGTCCCAGATGATCAAAATATCATTGATGTAACGGCCATAGAATATTAGGTGCTTGGCATATGGGTTGTTGTTCCAAATGTTCAGGGTCTCCCAGTGGCCCATGGTAAGATTTGCGTAGCTAGGGGCATAATTTGCCCCCATAGCTGTCCCCTGTGTTTGTAAATAAAATTTTCCTGAAAACGAAAAGTAGTTGTGCGTCAGGGTGAACTCAGTACAATTTATAAGAAACTGCACTTGAGTATTATTGATAGAAGATTTAGCCAGAAAAAACTGAAGGGCATTGAGACCAATTAGGTGGGGGATGGAAGTATATAGAGAACTGACATCTAGGGAGACCCAACTGTAGGAGGGGTCCCATTTGTAGTTGGATAAAGTTTGAATGAGGTGGCCAGAATCCTTTATGTAAGATGGGAGGGTCTGTACTATTGGTTGAAGGAACTGGTCAATGTAGATGGAAAGACCGCTAGTAAGACTATTAGTACTAGCAATGATGGGACGTCCAGGGGGGTTGTTGCTGTCCTTGTGGATTTCTGGTAGATGGTAAAAATAGGGTGTACTTGGGAATTTGGGATTTAGACAAGCTTTTTCTTTTTTGTTGATAATTTTATTGGTAAACGCTGGGTTGATGAGAGCGGCCAATTCATTAGAAAAAGATGTTAGGGGATCTGATGGGAGAAGTGTATAAGTGGTATTATCAGCAAGTAGTCTACGGGCTTCATTTATGTAGGTGGACTTATTTTGCATCACAATCCCACCTCCCTTATCTGCCTGTTTGATGACAATATCATTGTTAGAAATAAGGTTTTGGAGGGCCTTATTTTCCAAGGTAGTCAAATTCGGGTGGTGTTTGGCCTTTTTGCATATCTCTAGTAGATCAGCATAAACGACGTGGTAAAACGTTTCAATAAAAGGACCTTTAGACTGAACAGGGAAGAAAGTGGATTTCGGTCCAAGGGAAGTGTGGGTGACATTGGAGTTGATAAGGCCCTCAAAGTCAATGTGGGCGTTTTTGCTCATCCCTTCATCTCTCCTCCCACTCTACCTTTATGATAGACTTGCTCGGCTCGATCTATGCCTATTCCCCTAAGCACAGCCCCTAAGTGGGAGTGTCCTCTTAGACTCGTCTCCTCCACCAATCACAGTCACTCTGGACAGCGGTTGACTCCTCCCAGCTGTCATATTTAAACACTGGCAAGACATCCCGCCATCTCTATTGCACTTTCAACTTAGGCTTGACAAAGAGGCAGAGCCTCAAAAACGCGTAGCCGCCGGCATTGGACACCATCCTTGTCCAGCTCTTCCATTCCCCTTCGTTTTTGACATCCTAGAGATACAGCCCCTACAGACTATTGGGGTCCCCATACGGTCCGGCACTAACATCGCCTCATACTCGTGCAGCCGCGGCTCAGCCTGGCCAGCTGAGTCCGCGTTGTTCACACGATCACCCCTGACAGTTCTCAGACTGTTCTTCTGCACATTTTCCCGGCATTGTAGGACCAGCTGACACGCGATATGCTGACAACCGTAACGTGAATGTTTTCTTTACAGTAGTGGCGCTTTCTCATTGTGTGATTTTATTTGTGTACTCACAGGGTTCCTCTCCCTGTTTTTGACAGAGCCTGCACACTGTATTCCTGTCTACTCACGTTTTTATAGCACACGTCTTTATAGCCGAATAAGGTTTTTTACCCAGCAGGTAGTGCGCTCTAGCCTTTTTTGTTTTAATTGCAGTAGTGATTAAATCCCACCAAAAGAACCCACCAAACTCTTATCTGTCCCTAAAAAAATTGTATAAAATTAATTTCAGTACAGCGTTGCATTACGGAATAAATGTCAAAGTACCGCAGCGCTGAATACTGAAAAATGGCCTGGGCAGGAAGGGGGTTTAACACCCCGGTCAGCAAGTGGTTAAAGAAGAACTCCGGGCAGAAGGAAACAACCCCTGCAGTGGGCATCTCCGCACTGCAAGGGTTAAGTGCTGCTTTTCGTATAGGGTCTAAAATAACAAAGATATACTCGCCTGAACCCTGGTCCCATCTGACTGCTCGACTGGTCCCTGCAGCCTCTCGCCCTCTAAACTCTGGTGGTTTAAGAACCCATGAGTCATATCCTTTACAGTGTATTTTGGACGTGAGGATGCCAAGGGACTTAACAATCTTTTGACTGTAATATCAATTTAAGACATTTTAGAATATGCATGTGTGGTGAATAACACCTTCTTAATTTTTTATTTTTTTAGAGAAATCTTTAAACTTTAGGAGGGTAATAGCTCTTAAAGACTACCACATGAAGCAATTTAATATAACCTTCATATTTACCTGAATGGGAAATAATCATGTTTTTATTTACTGTTTTTTTTTTTTTTTTAGTCCGTTGCTGTAATGGCAGCTACAAGTGAAGGAACAGTCCGTTACTGGCCAAGCCTCTCACACGAAGATATTTATGTTGAAATTAATACTGATTTTGGTGGTTCTACTTGTGCATTTCTTACTGCTGTAAAGGTAAGCTTTTTAGATTTTCAATATTCTGTAGTTTTATCTTTTCTTTTTTTTTCTTCGTGTAGCCTTGCCTATATTTAAAGTGGTATTATTCATACTAAAATGTGGTTTGTACGTGACTGTAATAACTTGTTTAGGCCAGCTGCAGAAAACTGTGTGGATTTCTCTAGAATCTGATTTCTCAGAATCTGTAGATGGGTTAGGTTTCAGGTTAAAGCTGAACTCTAAACGGCTAAATGCACATTATATACATATAAGGGGAGCAGTTTTACCTGTCAAATGATTTGTGGAAATGAAGTTGTGCTTTGGCAACATCCTGGGAAAATATTCGCTCCTCCTAAACGGTTTGCACAGCGATAACCTTAGAGCAAGCTTTCCAAAGTTTTAGGGATTTTACTCTAACCTATTCATGATTCCACAACTGAAAAGAGGAGTAGGTCCCACCCTAGACTTAAAATCTCCAAATTTTTGCAGTTCTGCAAGTTTTGCATGGAATCAATGGGATTAGTAATTCCCTCTCTCTTAAATCCGGGTGATTGTTTTGCCACTTAAGAGTTAGTCTAGGCGTCCCCATAAGAACGTACAAAAAAGGTCTCATCCTCCAGAGAGGCGTGCGATAACACCACCTGTGCCCTTAACATTATACACTCGGCCTTGTCGAAGTCCATCCCGAGTCTGGTTGTGTCCACGGACGCGGAAAAGGCTTTCGACAAGGTCGACTGGTCTTTCCTTCATCTCACATTGGAACACGTTGGGCTAGGCCCAGTCATGCTCTCATGGATTCTAGCCTTATACTCCCACCCAACGGCCAGGGTTTGCGGCAACGGCGCCACATTCACAATCTCCAACGGCACTAGGCAGGGTTGCCCACTCTCACCTCTCATTTTCATTCTGTCCCTTGAACCCCTGCTCCGGACCATCCGAGCTCACCCTGATATCCAGGGCGTGACAATGGGGGGGGGGGGGGGGGCACGCAGAAGGTAGCAGCATACACAGACGACTTACTGTTTTTCCCCTCGGCCCCAGACACAACCATACCCAACCTACTATTGGCTTTGCAATGTTACGGCGAGCTATCGAACTACCATATTAACACCCAGAATTCAGAAGCTCTGAACCTATTCCACCCCTGTCATTGGCCTGTCTTCAAAGGAACTTCCCATATCAGTGGTCTTCCACATCAATCAAATACTTGGGCATCTTACTACACCGGAATCTGGCGGACACCTACAGTCTCAATTTTCCCCCACTGTTACATAGGGTCAGGTCGGATCTGCAGGGTTCGTCCCGCTCTACGTTCTCCTGGACTGGGCGTTGTAATGTCATCAAACAAAATATCCTCCCACACCTCCTCTATCCTCTCCAGGCCCTTCCGATACTGATCCCACGTGCATGTTTCCGGTCCCTACAGGCTGCGGTGACCAACTTTTATTTGGGCCGCTAAGGTCCATAGGCTCCGGCTGTCGATTCTGCGACGCCCCAAGGCAGCGGGAGGGCTTGCCTTACCAGACTTCCATATCTACTACATAGCCTCTCACCTTGCCCGTGTGATTGACTGGTGCCACCACGGTGACTCCAAGCCTTGGATTGAGCTGGAACAATCAACTACCAACATCCCCCTACCAGTCTTACCTTGGTATAAACGGCCACTACCCAGGATGACCAGAACACACCCGACAATAGGACCTACCTGACAGGTGACCCGTTGTGTGTTCGAGAGGAAACAACTATCTAGGGCGCCCTAGTCTATGCAGCTGATAATGGGTAACCCCGGGTTCCCCCCGTGGCTGGTAGACGGCCCGTTTCGCCGTCTTTTGACCACAGGCAAATTCCGGGTGCTACATTTTCTTAATGGGCGGTCCTGACAAGCTCTGGGAGACCTCTCGGGGGATCCCGACCTGAGGAATCTTGGAAGGTGCTGACACCAACAATTGACACACTTTCTCTCCTCACTCCCAGCTCCTTCTACTTACGCACGGAACATGCACAGACACAGGACCCATCGCTAAAACGCTCTCCCTATGTTACCAGTTAGCACTAACCTAGACCTCCCGCTACATTTTCTTGAACAATGGGAACGAGAATTGGAGACTCGATTCTCACAGGAGGAAATAAATTGGATGCTACAAAACTCCCTGAAGTCATCCATTTGCAACAAATACCAAGAGCAGGGCTACAAATGGTACAGAACCCCTTATAGACTCCATCAGATGTTCCGAAACGTACCAGACGCGTGCTGGTGCTGCGGCTCCTCCCCTGCGGATATGCTGCATATCTTCTGGTCATGCCCACTAGTGACCTCTTTTTGGACCCAGGTCCACGCGAATACTCAAATTTACAGACCACACCGTCCCAAACGAACCAGCATTTTTCTTCCTCCACCATAATCATTTCTCACCCAAGAGTTACTCCCGGTCGGTTCTAGTGCACTTGCTGAATGCAGCCCGTGCATGTATACCCACACTATGGAAACAGGCGACTCCTCCCTCGGTCTAACTTTGGTTTTCCAAAATAAACAATATCAGACTCATGGAGGACCACACCAGCTCCGTCAAGGGCACCTCCTCCAGATTCTCGGCCTCTGGATAGAATTCACCACTGCGGAATAACGCGCGATCATGGAATCTTGAGTGTTAGAGACTGCTCACCAATACTGCCTCCTGACATTCTTCCCCCAGCCTGTCTCCCCCCCCCCCTGTATGTAATAAGCCTCCCACCCTTTCCCTCACCTCATCAATACCCACAACAGTTGTGGTCCCGCATATGCACAGATATGTCAGCGCATGATCTGGCTTTTAACACCGCGTCCAGGAGCAAGGTTACCCAGCGGAACATCAATGATGCTCGACTCTCCTATACGGCAGGTTAGCGGAGGCCACGCACCCCCCTCGATTATAACAATCATGTATACCATTCATGCACCTCTTTTGTTTACCGTGACCATACTGTTGTGATGTTTACTTGATGCACTATGTCTATACACGATGTTTCCCGTGTACAAATAAATAATTTATATTTAAAAAAAAGGCCTCATATTGATTTGAAGAAACTTTTCGGTAAATAAATAGGAATATTATGCACTAAATACAGGATTCTAGGGGCAATAGTCATTTTCAGAATAGCTGTTCTTCCAAACCAGGAGAAAGTTGGTTTATCCTATTGAAATCCCCTATGTGATAGCCAATTCAAATAACAGGTCCTCTTTATAGGGACTCCATGTCACCTAGGGACCCCCAGAGAAGCTGATGAAGCAGAGATCTGCTTCATCAGCTTCTCACCGGCATCTGTAACTGGAGACACTGAATGCAGAAAGTGATGTAATATATATGCATTCGGGGACCGAGAAGAGATCAAAGGGAGATCGTGTACTGAACTCCCTATGATCTCCACTGACAGCGTTGCCGTGCCAGTCCCAGCCGCACTGGTCACAGCGGATCCCGACGCCCAATCACTTGAATGTAAACAGCCATAGCAGGCTGTTTACATTCTGACAGTTCCCCCCCTTGTGTGCGTGCGCTGTGCACGGGGGGGGGAGCGGCAGGACATCTTTAGACGCCCTACTGCTCCTATAAGGCTCCCATCCAGCTGTTAAGGAACGGCCATGGATGGGAGCTGGTTAAGGGTGTGCATATTTACACAACCATGTTGTTGTAATTATTTTGGTTATCTTTTCTTCCTTTTAAAAAATTCCAGTGTTTAATTAATTTGCACATATTATAGGTGACATTGGAGGTGAAAAGAAATATATATTTTTTTTTTTCCGAGGCTAATTTTTTTTTGTTTTAATATATTTTTATTGTTTGGTTTCTACAAAGGTACATTTATACATAAACATTCATAGATATTAGCTTCAGATTATCTCTTAATTATCAATGATTATTTATAATTCTAATTAAAAGCAACTTACACCCCACTTCATATGTCAATCTCTTATCAACCATCTAACTTCACTCCGCCTATCACTCTCTTGTCACATTCAAGCTCCTACTCTTATAGTTTTCTAGGGGGGGGAGGGGGAATCATGACCCTTTTGATTAATTTGGGATACCCCTCTAGTGTTTGTGAACTACTATAACCTATAATATATAAACCTCCCTATTTTCCCTTTTGATATACATTTATCACGTACCTGAGGCTGAGACTGGAAGATGGGGAGGCGTCTCTTGCGATTCGTGTCCTGCGACCCCTGGAGTTGGGAACAGGAGGGCGCAGGGCAACGAGGAGCACGAGTGCTGTAGGCTGGAAACAGACACTGTGCAGAAACATCTGTGTAGAGAGGTCAGTAAGCCAAGGGTCAAATCCGGTCGGGCAGGCGAAGTACAAATTCGGAAGGCTATCTCAAATCCAGGGAACAGGCCGGGGCCAGGGGCTGGCAGCAAGCAAAAGATTAGTCCAGGGCAATCCAAGTCAAGGCAGGTCTAAGTAGCGAACACAGGAAACAAACACCAAGCTGACAAGACCATCAGCAATGAAAGAGAGGCTGGCTCCTCCTTATATAGTCATAGGATTAAAGACAGCTGCCTCACTTCCTGTGCGCCTTCCCGCACATTTTGCCGCGATTCTCGCGCATGCACAGTTTGCCGCGATTTGAGTGCATGCGCAGTTCGCCGCGATTCACGCGCATGCGCAGTTTGCCGCGATTCTCGCGGTTTGCTCTTTGCGCATGCGCAGCCGCAATCGTGCCTTTACAACATTACTCTATACTTATTATGCATATTCCTCAAGTGTTCAATAATGTGATAACTAAACAATAAACCCCTATTACTTTATATATACTTAATACCTTGTCCCATCCTCCCCCTCCCTCTGAATATTTTGGTCCTACTCTTATTGTGTATCCTAACTACTAATTAATAACCTACATTACTAAACCTGATGTGTACTACCTTTCCTATTCTACTTCATCTAAATATACCCCGTGTCTTCCCTTCTTCGTCCCATCCTCCCATTCCCCCTCCCTCTCCAGAAAACAATCCTCATTCCTTTCCATCTTCCACTCATAC